TATAGTATCTTTCTCATAACCTTCCTTAATCTTAAATAACCATGATATACATATATATAATCTTATATATCTTTTTGCTCTTAAGTACTGTCTGCTATTGCTTTCTCAAGAGTTTGAATGAAAAGGGAAATGGGATTCGAGAATTTAAGAAATGCAAATGCTGGCAATCATATAGATACATGAACCATTATCAATGTCCTTTAAACATATTTAGTATATGTGTTGCAGTTAGAGATTATCAGCTATCATCTCTGTTATATCTTTTATTCACTGTTTCATTGCAGCATATTGTTGTTGATGCTAAACATGAACTTTTGGTTCATTCTATTCACAAAATTTGGTTTTCCACAAAAATTAAAGTGACTGGTGCAGACTTAAGATAAAATTCTAATAATTTTGGTATTTATTTTAAAAGATCAGTGCAGTTTGCATATAATTTCTAGTTTCGATTAAAATTATTAAAACCTAACTAGAGTATTTGTGTGGAATCAAATTGTGACATGTCTTACCAACATAAGTGAGCCTCTGAAAAGTTTGTTTTTAATATTTTCTTGTAGAGCACACAAACTTGCCATGAAACACATTATTGAATGAAGCTTCTATTTGGACCAAGAATTTGCAGACAAGGTTTGGAAATTATCTCTATTTAATTGAATTCAATCGAAGTTGTTGGACCATGAAAAGAAAAAAATTTATTAGCCTGTTGATACTGCTGTCATATCTCACTTTCCATGCTAATATAATGCATTTTGTTTCAGTACTTGTTTTTCTTGTTTTGTAATCTAGTTGCTCACTCTATTTTCAATGTTAGATTATTGAATTACCTTCTAAATTCCCAATTAGTTACAGTTATGGTAGAGGCCAAATGCCACTGAGATTCAAAAATTTGGGTTAGAGCTTCTGGTTCGTTTTAAGGTACAATAGACATGTTGGCTAGAAACTTATTTTGGTAATCTGTTGCAGGTATTCTTGTCTAACAGCGTATGATTTGGAGGGGTGGTCCAGAGTCGTAAATCTAATGGCTATAGTGACGTTTTTTATCGTACTAGATAGCTTGGTGTATTTCAGCATGTATTAGGAGTTTTTGAATGTTTGTATCAAAATATTCTACTTTAATGGATATTAAATTTCAGCTTGACATTTTTTTAATATATTCATTTAATTATTAAATCCTTTGAAACTTTAGTTGTACAGGAAGCTCTCTTTTCTTTTTTTTTTTAAATTTCAGTTGTTCAACTCTTGACGGCTAAGAACCGTCAAGAAAGATTTATTAAATGTCAGGAAATATATTTGTTGATGCTTATTAAGCGACAAGAAAAGCCTTTGTTGACGGTTTTTCACTAATCCGTGACGCTTTTTACCCGTCAGGAAACACAATTGCTTGACGGATAATAAGTGTCAAGTATGGTGGTACCCTTTCCTGATACTGACATCGCTGATGCTTTTGGAACCGTCATCTAATGGCTATAGTGACGCTTTTTAGCTGTCAGTAAAGGGGGGTTTTCTTGTAGTGCTAGGTTATCTCATAAAGATAATTGAATAATCTATCCCAAAAAAGAAGAAGATTTCCCCCAAAATGAATAGGTCCTTAATAATCTTGTTTAATTCTTCATATATATGGTTGCCGCGCATGTCCTCCATCTCACTCACTCTGCCTCAATGGCCCCCTCCAAATCCAAACCCAAAACCAAATCAATCTCTATATCTCCAGTTAATTTGAAGCTCCTCATCAAAAAAAGGCATAAAAAAGTTCTCTTCGCTGAAGTTGGGAAGGCTTTTGTTGACTTTCTCTTCACCCTTATGTCTCTACCCATCGGCACTGTAATCGGGCTCCTCTCTAAGAAATGCATGGTTGGTTGTTTAGGCAAACTCTACGGCAGCTTAGAAAACCTAAACGACACATACTTGCAACCCAACCTCAACAAGGATGTCCTTCTAAAACATAAGAAGCTGCCAATGCCAATTGGCGGCGCCCATCAACTTCTTCCTGCGTTGACCGACGGTGAATCGAACGGTAAAAAGTTGTACACGTGTCGGTCATGTCAGCCGTCAAGCTACTCCTTCTCTGGCGAGGTATGCTATGTGGCCGACGACCCTAAGGCCATTTGTCCAAGGTGCCATAACTTCATTTCCAAACCCATACAATCCAAGTTTTGTCAATCTTACTTTATACCATACAATCGGGCAACTTCACTAGCATCATCAATTTTGTTTGTTATGTGGCCTTCTCATCCTAGATGTGTACCTTCGAAGTTATAATATATAGTTTTTTAGTCATTTTGATTCTTGCATGTCATAATTGTCATTTTCTTCACTTCTATCTGCATAAATAATTTCTTGTGTAGATGTAAACTCTAATTTATATGTTCGATTAATATTAATAAAGTTTTTACTACTTTGCCTACCTGAACACAACATGGACTCTAGCTCATGACTACCTAACTTAAAGCTTATAATTTGACATATATTGTATGTTTTGTTTTTTTCTCTTGGTAGGGTTTGAAGTTACTGAAGGCATCATTGGAGACTAGCACAGTCCTTACTAATGTGTTCTTGGGTAATAAGAAGGCCTAAACATTTGTGCTTCATGAAATGACATTCGTATTTTATGATGTCAATTTGGAGGTTTCCGTATTTTGGATTTATGTAATGACTATTTCGGATTTCAATATTTTCTCATTTCCCTTTGAATGAAGAAATTGTTTGCTTAATTTGATTGGTTAGCCTTCACCCCCAAGGTTCGAGAATGAATATCCTGCAACATCGCATAGACCCATGTATAAAAATACGAAATGTCATGCTAGGTTATCTCATAAAGATAATTGAATAATCTCTCCCAAAAAAGAAGAAGATTTCCCCCAAAATGCCAACTAAAAAACGTATAATTTGTGTTGGCGAGTCCTTACTTAGTTAGGATTTTGGTTCCCTATTTAGTTAGAATTTTGATTACTTACCAATTATTATTTAGTCTTATTGTAATAGAGATTTATTTCCTATTGTAATTTAGATATATTTCCTATTTTATTTAGGGTTAACACATCTTTGTACTTGTATAAATACCTCCATATTGGAGATGAATAAAAATATGAGTGTATCATAGCATAACTGAATATTTGCCCTACTTTGTTTGACATGGTATAAGAGCCTAGGTTTTCTTGTGACCTGTGTTTGCGTTCTCCTTACAATTTAAGTGCTCTCCTCCCCTCCTCTTTAAAGGGGGGAGGGGGAGTGAAAATGATATGTTTATTGACGTATCCCCATTACCTTGACGTATTCCCATGAAGATGTAGCTTATTTCTTGACTCCGACGACCTCTTCTCTTCAGGGGGAGAGGAGGAGTGAAGAGAAGTTGTCTGTGTGAATTAGCTAAATTTGATATGGAAGAACTGTTGTTGTTGCTATTGTCGTTGCCGTTACCTCTACTACTGTCGTTGATGTTACCATTGCCGCTATTGTTTCCGTTGTTATGGTCATTGCCGATGATGTTACTGTGTTTTGATCTGTCTCTACCCTAACCCTAGAGACTACCTATTTCCGTTGCACTATAAATCTAGCTTATAATCCTAGTCTGCCGCCGCCGCCGTCTACCTTGCTACCGTCATCGTTGCCTACCTTGCTATTGTCACCGCTGCTCATCTATTCCGCTACAATTTAACCACCTATCTGCCATGGCTGATTCTGCTACATCTCAGTGTTAGTCAGTGCATGTTTCTTAAATACCATTGATCATATGGCTCCATCGACCCATTCTCTTCGGGGGGAGAAGGGGAGTGAAGAGAAGTTGTCTCTGCTGTTGCTGGTGCCAATGCCAATGCCTTGTATTGCTGTTGATGATGCCTGTTATGTCTCTGTCTTGTTGCTCCTGCCTGTTATGGTGCCAGTATTGTTGCTCATGCCTTTGCTAGTGTGTTTGCCTTGCCTTACCCTATTTTTTAGGGTTTGGTTTCTGCCTTATCTTCTGCCGTGCTCACAGGGCTTCTGTGTTCTGCCTTATCTGCTGCCGTGCTCACAGGGTTTCTGTGTTCTGCTATCTGCCTTATCTTCTGCCGTGCTCACAGGGCTTCTGTGTTCTGCCTTATCTGCTGCCGTGCTCACAGGGTTTCTGTGTTCTGCTATCTGCCTTATCTTCTGCCGTGCTCACAGGGCTTCTGTGTTCTGCCTTATCTGCTGCCGTGCTCACAGGGTTTCTGTGTTCTGCTATCTGCCTTATCTTCTGCCGTGCTCACAGGGCTTCTGTGTTCTGCCTTATCTGCTGCCGTGCTCACAGGGTTTCTGTGTTCTGCTATCTGCCTTATCTTCTGCCGTGCTCACAGGGCTTCTGTGTTCTGCCTTATCTGCTGCCGTGCTCACAGGGTTTCTGTGTTCTGCTATCTGCCTTATCTTCTGCCGTGCTCACAGGGCTTCTGTGTTCTGCCTTATCTGCTGCCGTGCTCACAGGGTTTCTGTGTTCTGCTATCTGCCTTATCTTCTGCCGTGCTCACAGGGCTTCTGTGTTATGCCTTATCTGCTGCCGTGCTCACAGGGTTTGTGTTCTGCTATGTGCCCTATTTTTTAGGGTTTGCTCTTGTGTTTTCGCTGTGAACTTTGCTTTATGTTGTCACTTGTTTCACTCGTGGTTGACGAAAAGACCTTCTCTACAATTGGTGCTTCTCACGTATGGTGTTCTGTGACTCGCTTGTCAAGTTGGGCATGCGAAATATCTTTGCCCCAACTTGAGGGGGAGTGTTGGCGAGTCCTTACTTAGTTAGGATTTTGGTTCCCTATTTAGTTAGAATTTTGATTACTTACCAATTATTATTTAGTCTTATTGTAATAGAGATTTATTTCCTATTGTAATTTAGATATATTTCTTATTTTATTTAGGGTTAACACATCTTTGTACTTGTATAAATACCTCCATATTGGAGATGAATAAAAATATGAGTGTATCATAGCATAACTGAATATTTGCCCTACTTTGTTTGACAATTTGGATAAGGTCCATCCAAATGACAATTAAAAAACTTTTCAGTTTCTCAAAGCAGTGGGTCTACAAATAAATAGGTCCTTAATAATCTTGTTTACTTCTCCATATATATATATATATATAGAGTTGCGCTGCGCATGTCCTCTATCTTACTCACTCCAAACCCAAAACCAAATCAATCTCTGCTAGTTAGTTTGAAGCTCCTCATCGACAGAAAGCATAAAAAAGTTCTCTTCGCCGAAGCTGGCAAGGACTTTTGTTGACTTTCTCTTTACCCTTCTACCTCTACCCGTCGTCACTGTGATCAGTCTTCTCTCTAGGAAATGCATGATCAGCTGTTTAGGCAAACTCTACGGTAGCTTAGAAAACCTAAACGACACATACTCACAACCCAACCTCAACAAGGATGTTCTTCTAAAACCTAAGAAGTTGCCAATGCCAATTGGTGGCGCCCATTAACTCCTTCCTGCATTGATTGACAATGAATCAAACAGTAAACCATTGTACACGTGTCGGTCATGTCAGCCGTCAAGTTACTCCTACTCTAGTGGCAAGATATGCTATGTGGCCGAAGACCCTAAGGCCATTTGTCCAAAGTGCCATAACTTCATTTCTGAACCCACGACTTATATTGCTCGGCCGACAATTGCAGCAGGCGGCAATGGAGGTGGGTTTGTGAGAGAGGCTGTGACTTACATGATAATGGATGAAATGGAAGTGAAGCCTATGTTTGCCATTTTCAAGTATTGCTCTGCTTAAAAACTTCGATGTTAGGGATGTTCATTCACTTGAAGAGACTGTGGTTCCTCTCGATAAGGTATTCTGCTACATCTCAGTGTTAGTCAGTGCATGTTTCTTAAATACCATTGATCATATGGCTCCATCGACCCCTTCTCTTCAGGGGGAGAAGGGGAGTGAAGAGAAGTTGTCTCTGCTGTTGCTGGTGCCAATGCCAATGCCTTGTATTGCTGTTGATGATGCCTGTTATGTCTCTGTCTTGTTGCTCCTGCCTGTTATGGTGCCAGTATTGTTGCTCATGCCTTTGTTAGTGTGTTTGCCTTGCCTTACCCTATTTTTTAGGGTTTGGTTTCTACCTTATCTTCTGCCGTGCTCACAGGGCTTCTGTGTTCTGCCTTATCTGCTGCCGTGCTCACAGGGTTTCTGTGTTCTGCTATCTGCCTTATCTTCTGCCGTGCTCACAGGGCTTCTGTGTTATGCCTTATCTGCTGCCGTGCTCACAGGGTTTGTGTTCTGCTATGTGCCCTATTTTTTAGGGTTTGCTCTTGTGTTTTCGCTGTGAACTTTGCTTTATGTTGTCACTTGTTTCACTCGTGGTTGACGAAAAGACCTTCTCTACAATTGGTGCTTCTCACGTATGGTGTTCTGTGACTCGCTTGTCAAGTTGGGCATGCGAAATATCTTTGCCCCAACTTGAGGGGGAGTGTTGGCGAGTCCTTACTTAGTTAGGATTTTGGTTCCCTATTTAGTTAGAATTTTGATTACTTACCAATTATTATTTAGTCTTATTGTAATAGAGATTTATTTCCTATTGTAATTTAGATATATTTCTTATTTTATTTAGGGTTAACACATCTTTGTACTTGTATAAATACCTCCATATTGGAGATGAATAAAAATATGAGTGTATCATAGCATAACTGAATATTTGCCCTACTTTGTTTGACAATTTGGATAAGGTCCATCCAAATGACAATTAAAAAACTTTTCAGTTTCTCAAAGCAGTGGGTCTACAAATAAATAGGTCCTTAATAATCTTGTTTACTTCTCCATATATATATATATATATAGAGTTGCGCTGCGCATGTCCTCTATCTTACTCACTCCAAACCCAAAACCAAATCAATCTCTGCTAGTTAGTTTGAAGCTCCTCATCGACAGAAAGCATAAAAAAGTTCTCTTCGCCGAAGCTGGCAAGGACTTTTGTTGACTTTCTCTTTACCCTTCTACCTCTACCCGTCGTCACTGTGATCAGTCTTCTCTCTAGGAAATGCATGATCAGCTGTTTAGGCAAACTCTACGGTAGCTTAGAAAACCTAAACGACACATACTCACAACCCAACCTCAACAAGGATGTTCTTCTAAAACCTAAGAAGTTGCCAATGCCAATTGGTGGCGCCCATTAACTCCTTCCTGCATTGATTGACAATGAATCAAACAGTAAACCATTGTACACGTGTCGGTCATGTCAGCCGTCAAGTTACTCCTACTCTAGTGGCAAGATATGCTATGTGGCCGAAGACCCTAAGGCCATTTGTCCAAAGTGCCATAACTTCATTTCTGAACCCACGACTTATATTGCTCGGCCGACAATTGCAGCAGGCGGCAATGGAGGTGGGTTTGTGAGAGAGGCTGTGACTTACATGATAATGGATGAAATGGAAGTGAAGCCTATGTTTGCCATTTTCAAGTATTGCTCTGCTTAAAAACTTCGATGTTAGGGATGTTCATTCACTTGAAGAGACTGTGGTTCCTCTCGATAAGGTAAAGGTTTGTGTTTATTAATAATTTTTTCTAACGTGATAAATTACCATTCTATATATTCAAATATTGCACTTGATATTCTATAAGAATTTATGATGAAGAGCATTTTTGTTTAATTTCCTTGTTAGGGTTTGAAATTGTTGAAAGGCATCGTTGTTAGCGATTATACTCCATTTTTTAATTTTCTTTTTCCCTGAAATTAATAGTATAGCCGAGCGGCGATAATCCGTTTTTTAAAAATTTTATTCCAATTTATAGTATAGCCGGGCTGTTTAAATATAATATATAAAAATAGTCTGGCCGCGCCTTTATACTCCGTGTTTTTTTGGTTTTTTTCAAATTAATAGTATAGCCGTTCGGCTATACTATTCAAATATAAAAATTAGGTCGGATATCTTCTTCTTCCCAGCGTCGCCTTCTCCTTCCTCTCTCTGTCTCGATCTCTCTCTCTCTCTCTCTCTCCGTCACGGATCCTGCGCGCTTCAACAGCCCTTCATCCACGCCTCAACGGCAAAACGCCCGCCCAGACCCTCCTAGAGCCGCCTAGACCCTCCTAGAACCGCCTAGGGCAGCCTAGGCCGCCTAGAACCGCCTAGGGCCACCCTTCTGCCGTGCTCACAGGGCTTCTGTGTTCTGCCTTATCTGCTGCCGTGCTCACAGGGTTTCTGTGTTCTGCTATCTGCCTTATCTTCTGCCGTGCTCACAGGGCTTCTGTGTTATGCCTTATCTGCTGCCGTGCTCACAGGGTTTTGAAGATGTTAGGGAACAAGGTGGAAGAGTTTTTGTTCATTGTTGTCAAGGGGTATCTCGGTCCACCTCATTGGTGATTGCATATCTTATGTGGAGAGAAGGACAGAGTTTTGATGATGCATTTCAGTATGTGGAAGCAGCAAGAGGCATTGCTGGCCCGAATATGGGTTTTGCTTGTCAGTTGCTACAGTGCCAAAAGAGGGTCCATGCTTTTCCTCTTAGCCCGAGTTCACTATTGAGGATGTACAGAATTGCCCCACATTCACCCTATGATCCTTTGCATCTTGTCCCAAAAATGTTGAATGATCCATCACCTTCTGCTCTGGATTCTAGAGGTGCATTTATTGTTCATATACCGTCTGCGGGTTAGCACGTCTTTGTGCTTGTATAAATACCTCCATATTGGAGATGAATAAAAATATGAGTGTATCATAGCATAACTGAATATTTGCCCTACTTTGTTTGACAATTTGGATAAGGTCCATCCAAATGACAATTAAAAAACTTTTCAGTTTCTCAAAGCAGTGGGTCTACAAATAAATAGGTCCTTAATAATCTTGTTTACTTCTCCATATATATATATATATATAGAGTTGCGCTGCGCATGTCCTCTATCTTACTCACTCCAAACACATCCTAGAAGGGTACCTCTTGGTGTACCGGAACTCATGTAAGTTTGTTCCAAATTGAAAGATAATGAGCTTTTGGTTGGCGTGGAATTAGGGTTACACTGTTTTCACAGTCATGTGGCAGGTCACTAGTGAATCAACCTTCCTAGTCTGATGATCTTGTACTGAAATACTAGGTTAACTAACAGGGTGCATGCAACCTTAGGCCATTTCACTTGATTTTGTTCCATCTCCTGCATTTAAACATGTTTTTGCTTATGCACTTTTTATCTTTGAAGTTGCTGAATCACTTGCTATAAGGAACCAGACCTTATTTGCTATTATTTTGGGCGTCCCCTTGAAAAGTCTATTAATGTCTCCATTTATATTAAAAATCCCCAGTTAGAAGTGAATTTTGATTGGATGGTAGTGTCTGATACTGCTAGCAAATCATCGAAAACTGAAACCAAGTAATATAAAAAGAGTTGAGGTAAATGAATTGAGAAATGCTAACATTGTCTTGGAAAAAGTACCATTTGAAAATGGTTCATAATATTTTCCTTGATGTCATCTTTCCTAAGTAAATTAAAAAAAAAGAAGATAGAGTTTTCAAATAAGGATTTTGAATAGCTGGGTCCATATTAATTCCAATCAGGATTGTTGACCTTTATTTTCCCTGACGAGTCTTTACTTTGCTGTGTTCTTCAAATCCTGACATAATGTGTTTTGGACTTTGCAGTGTACAGGAGGAGGAGGATGATGCTGGTCTCTAACTGCCTCGTTTGTTGCTAATCAACTGGTTGTACAGTGCTGTAACACCCTAGTAACTCATTATCAGATTTTTCTTGCATATTCACTAATACAAGGACCAATTCCTGAATGCCTTTTCAGGCCAAGCAATTTATATTAAACGTTCCATTCTTAATGCTCTCTCTCTCTCTCTCTCTCTCTCTCTCTCTCTCTCTCTCTCTCATGATGTACGCTTGCTTAGATTTCAATTTCATTCCCAACTTAAAAAGAATGATAAGTGAAAATGATGATGAAGAGGATTGACGCATACATAGAAATGGTTGTAAGTTGTAACAATTTGATTCCATTGAGCATTCATCTAAATCAGGGAGAATATTTGATTTATCAGTTCAAAAAGGATGCGTGAATGGATTTGATCTATACAATTTATAATTAAATTGAGCTATTAAGATCCTTGTTTAGTCCGTCCAAGATCTAAATCCCAGTCATATGAATGAAATAAATCTTATAACCCAGCTAGATGTTCTCGTCTATACGGATTATCATTTGTGAAATAAGGAATTCTCATATTCAAAAGCAGCCTTATAATGATCTATTAGTCATGTAATTATTGAAGATAAATCTTGAAACAGAGGATGATAATTAATGAGATAAAAACAACAATCCTAGTTGTGGGGTAAAGATATTATCCGTCAATCGGTATTCACCACCAATTCACTTTAGGCTTTTCAAATAAAATTGATCATTTTTTTTGACGGCATCAATGGCAATCGCCAAAATTAAGTACATGTAAAAAGGCCACAAAGTTCTGTTTGCTGAAGGGGGAAAGCACTTTTGTGGATTTGCTTTTTAGTCTTGTCTTTTGCCTCTAGGCATTGCCACTAAACTCGTCTCTAACAAGGATGACATGGGTGGAAGCTTAGTCAAACTTTACAAGAGCATTGAAAATCTCAGTGACACATACTACAACCTGCTACTAACAAGGAGGAGGCCTTGCTGAAACCTACGACACTTTCTGCTGGAGCTAATGTCCTTTGGATTTTGACCACCGATGATCCAAAGGCCCGCCGAACAGTTCTGTTGTGCAATGATCCTTTTGAACTGTCGTTGATACAAAAATGAAGCACTGACTCTCTAAGGCATACTGTTTTGTTTTTTGTTGTTCTGTTATGTTTTGGGCCTCCATTTCTCAGTTCTTTTCGGCATGATCAAATCTCAAACCAGTTGGCAGGAGACCAACTTTTATAACAGTTCTCTGTTTTTTTTTTCCATTTGGGCAGTTTTATGAGTTCTTAGGCTTTAGTACCATTGATTCAGTTTGAATTGCTGTTGATGGTTTCTAAGGCTTGTCTAAGCTTATAAATAGGTCATCCTTCTCTGTCCTCTTTGCACAAAGAGTTACAAGCAAGCAAATAAGTTGTTGATTTTCTTTTCACTCTTCTGTCTTTGCATGTTGGTGGTTAACATTGTCATGTCACACAAATTCTTACTTCAAACAATAAACTCATCCATGTAATTATGGATCGGTCTTCTTGACGTCATCAATGGCAATCACCAAAAATAAGGTGAAACTCCTAGTCCATGTAAAAAAACCACAAAATTCTGTTTGCTGAAGGGAGCATAGACCTGTTAGTTGACTTTTTCACTGTCTTTCTTTGGCCTCTAAACTAGTGAAGTCTGAAGATACAATACAACTAATGTGAAAAGGCAAATACAAAACAAAACGAATTGTAAATCTGGCTGTTGGTTTAGTTAATGAATGCCAACTAGTGGAAATAAATACATATTTATTCACTCATCCGTAGATTATATTACCTATGTTTAGGTAATGACAGATTTGTATATGTAGAGTTGCTTTGTGGTGGACTGATGATGCAGAGTCTCCAAGGTGACCCTCCACCTTCTTGATCCATTCACCATTGCCATTTTTGAATAATTTTGAATTTAGGATACTTCTTTTATGAAGTTTGGTCTTCGAAGGCTTAAGCACATATGCTCCTTCTTCTCTGTCCTTAAATATCCCCTCAATGGCTACAACCAACAGCTCTAGCGTGAGTTTGAAGCTTCTGATTGACACCAAAAAAAAAAAGCCCTTATTTGCTATTATTTTGGGCGGCTATACTGTTTAAATTTTAAAAAATTTATTCCAATTTATAGTATAGCCGGGCGGCTATACTGTTTAAATATAATATATAGAAATAGTATGGCCGCGCCTTTATACTCCGTGTTTTTTTCCATTTTTTTCAAATTAATAGTATAGCCGCGCGGCTATACTATTCAAATATAAAAATTAGGTCAGATATCTGCTTTTTCCCAGCGTCGCCTTCTCCTTCCTTTCTCTATTTCGATCTCTCTCTCTCTCTCTCCGTCTTTCTTCCTAACAAGCAACGGATCCTGCGCGCTTCACCGCCCTTCATCCACGCCTCAACGGCAAAACGCCCGCCCAGACCCTCCTAGAGCTTCCTAGAGCTGCCTAGGGCGCCTGGACCCTCCTAGAGCCGCCTAGGCCGCCTAGAACCGCCTAGGGTTCAGGGTTTTGTGTATAGAACTCTATGGTTGCAGGACAGTCCGACCGAGGACGTACTAGTATCTTATATGATGTTTTTGATTACTATGAAGATGTTAGGGAACAAGGAGGAAGAGTTTTTGTTCATTGTTGTCAAGAGGTATCTCGGTCCACCTCATTGGTGATTGCGTATCTTATGTGGAGAGAAGGACAGAGTTTTGATGATGCATTTCAGTTATTACAGTGCCAAAAGAGGGTCCATGCTTTTCCTCTTAGCCCGAGTTCACTATTGAGGATGTACAGAATTGCCCCACATTCACCCTATGATCCTTTGCATCTTGTCCCAAAAATGTTGAATGATCCATCACCTTCTGCTCTGGATTCTAGAGGTGCATTTATTATCCTTCCTTTCTGGATTCTAGAAGCAGCAGCCACTTGGTCGCTCCGATCAAGTCCTTCCTTTCTTGATCGACGGTGGATATAACGCTAACAAACTGTATACGTGTCTTTCATGCCGGCGGTCTAGCTACCCCTACCGAAGCGAAGTGTGCTATGTGGCTGACGACCCTAAGGCCATTTGTCCGCAGTGCCATGGTTTCATGTCCAAACCCATGACTTACGTTGCTCCGCCGTCAGTTTCTGCCGGAGAAACGTCGGCCCGTAGCGAGGGACGTGGGTTTGTGAGAGAGGTTTTGACTTACATGATAATGGATGATTTGCAAGTGAAGCCTGTGTCTGCCATTTCTAGTATCGCTCTGCTCAACACCTTCAATGTTACAGATGTTCGTTCACTTGAAGAGAGGGTGGTTCCTCTCGACATGGATAAGGTTTGTGTTGATTAATTCCTTTTTTTCTGCACCAATGCTATATATCTAATATTGCTCTTCACATTCTATAAGGAATTATGATCAAGCAAGCATTATTGTTTAATTTCCTTGTTAGGGTTTGACATTGTTGAAGGCGTCGTTGCATTCGAATGCAGTTCTCACGAAGGTGTTCCTAAGGAAGAAATGAAGCAACATTTGAACTTTGCATCTGATCATTAAGTACTGGAGTTTGGCATCTTGAAGCTTGTATATATGGGGATGTTTGTTTTTGAATAGGGATGGATGATGTATCCCTTTGTTTTACAGTGCTGTTATTTTGGAGGTCTTTTCTGGTGTAATAAGAGTAAGACCTGGCTGTGTATATATGTAATGTAATGGCATTCGCCTGCTTTTGGACTTTAAACTTCTCTTTCGTGTTCAAACTCAGTGCACTAACTAGTAGTTGATTTAGTTAGCTGAACTCCAGCTTTGTCTTAACACTGATACAAAGAGATCAGATTCTGCTTTCTTCTTCTCTAAAGTTCCCTATAGCAACTAGTTCTGTGAGAGAGAAATTTCCACAAAATGCTGTTTTGTTTGGTCAGAAACTTGTGTTCTCTTGTTTTGGAAATCATTCAATTCTCCCACTTGAGTAAACCTACCACTCAACTCATTCAAAAATCACATCACATCAGTCTGTCATAGAGTTGAAAGAGAACCCATTGAGCTTGTGACAACTGGGCTGAACCACACTATTACAAATGAGAAAAATTTATAAATGTGGTTTTTATAAATGTGTGTTTCTGTTAAATTTTTGAGGTTCGGATTTATATGCGACCATATTTAACCTTGTGAAGAAGAGATGCACAGTAGAGATGAGTTTTTGGTTTTTTTCTTTTATCTATTTATATGGAAAGAGTATTACAAAGTAAAACCTCCGGGGCACGGAAGCTCAAAGAGGTCAAAGTAGAAAGGAAATACAATTGAGAGGCAAATCTTGCTCGCAAACAACGTAAGCAGAGAGATGAGTTGGTCAAGATAATATGCCCTACTTTTTTATACTCGTTTAATCATTTTCTCCCCTTGCAGTAAAATAATTTAAAATATCGTTTAGATTGCTTTTCAGTGATCGATAGATTGAACAATTTTCTCTTCACAGGAAATGTAGGGTTGTAAATTGTTGGATTGTATATATATATATAGGAAGTAGGTCTTCTTCTGTGTAAGTTTACAGCAGGTTTTCGACCAAAAAAAAAATAAGGTTCGTGGCAGGGTAGGCTATGTTGCATATTTTACGGCATGCCATGTTGCAAACTTCAATTCCATTTCTGATTTTTTCTTTCTTTTGAAGTGTTTCACCGGGAAAAACAAAAGGAAAGAGGAAAACCATTATCAAGTGGGTCCGGAGTTGGGCCCATCGAATCCGTGAAAAAGGAGGTGGGCCCCTTGAATCCGTGATTTTGCTTTTTCGCGTCAAGCCCAAAATTTAGGTCCAGAAAAGGACGAAAGGGCAGTTAATAAAAACAGAGCACCGACTTACAAAGCACATATATTTTCATCTTCTCCACTCTAGAGAGCCTTACTCTACGTCTACCGTCTACGCCTAAAAAGCTGCACTTGGGTCTCCTCTTGGTAACTCTTACAAAACTCTCTCCCCATCTCCGAGTTTTTGTTTGTTTGGAAAAAAATATGTAATATATATATATATATGTATATATGTGGACCAAACTATTTTTTTGAAATTAGGCTCTGTATTGAAAAAAAATATATTACACTGATTTCTTCAAATGAATTTGTATATGTTGGCAGGCTCTGAAATGAAGTTGCATGCTGCAACAGCCTCTGCCACTATGAGATAAATCCATCCTTGACATGTTTTCTCAATCAACTCTGCCTTGTTCATCTTCTTCATCACCTCGCTTCCCGGGTTCGCCAGTACAAGCTAAACACAGATGGGAACAAAATTACAGAGTTATATAAACAGATGAAATAAAAATTTGGAAGGAAATATTTGATAAATTGAAAGACTGTTGCAGATTTTTGAACCTGGAGCTCCCTTCTGTCAACAAGCTTTTTGACCTCTTCAAACATGCTTATCCCACTTGTGTCTATGTTACCAACAGCTGCAAATTAAACCAGAAAACAAATTAATTTCAGGGTAAAAAATGTCACATGAATTTTCTTTATATACATATGCAATATTTGTTTCCCATAGTTACCAGTCATATCCAATATCACATATTGCAAGCTACTTTCCCCTGCAGATTTGATCCTGTCTTCCTCATCATTTATCCACCTTGTAATCCTGAAAACAAGTAGGACATTGGGTCAACTTCCAAATTATTATTTTTAAATTTGATTATAACATGCAAGAGTGTGTTCAGGTTTAGTTAATTAGTACCTTTCTCTAAAGTAGTTGGTAGTATTTGCAAAGTAAATGGGAGCATCAATCTCAAGTATGAGAATTCCAGGAACATTGCTTGCATTGGGATACTGCTCAAAATTTCTGTAAACCATGGAATTCGGAAGGTTTCCTTGAACAAAAGTCCTTGGCCTTGCCAGAAACTAAAGTACCCTGATCACGGATATTGCAACCTACACACAAGAAAAAAGAAATATTAGTTCCAATAAGTAATGTTAAGTTGTTGATATGGTGTTATTGTCACACACAATAATTTTTTACTGGTGTGACATATAGTTGTACGTACCGCTAAGACTAGTCCAATTTTAAGGCTGCCAAAAACGACCCCGATACAGGCACTCATGCAGACAACAATGTCAAACGTATCAACGTTCCAGAGGTGAATTGCAGCTTCATAGTCTATGAGGCCGAGCATGGCGGCTATTATAATAGCAGACAGCACAACCAGGGGAGTGTAATGGAACAGAGGAGTGAGGAACAACAATGTGAACATAACCGCAATTGCCATGACAACATTTGACGTCTTGCATCCTGCATTGTAGTTAACTGCTGACGTGGGAAATGGCCCTGAAAATTGATGAAATTTTTTTGCTTAATTAGCAACATGAAATGAATCTAATTAA